CCTTTTTCATTTTACACACTTGCCTTATGAACACACATACTCATAAACACACACACACAGACAAACAAACACATGCTTTTCTGACTAAATGTTTCTTGTACCGTTGTTTATTTCACCTACACCACTTATTTTGAAATGATGTTATGTATAGGTATAATTAAAACAAGTATCAATGTCCGTTGTCTATAGCAGTTATCTGCACTGACACTTGATTAGTATTCAAGTGTATAGTAGATAATTATAGTGTTTAATTAATTTTTTCTCAGGCGTGTATACAAAACACACTTTATATCGCTACTTTTAAGCCCTACAGCTATGTATTTTATATAAAAATTGTGTGTATTACTTTTTAAACTCTGAATATAATTTGATTTGAATCAGTGTGTGTGTGTGTGTGTGTATGAATGCATATATATGCCCATGGTAGAAATATATTGAAGAAAGCAAATCTATGTGTAGGCGGAGTCAAAATGACAATGTGAAGGTGAATAGATAGTGGGTGGCGGGTGGTGGAGCTATGCGCCATCATTTCAGCCTATCAGATAAAAAATTTAACTGTCATTTCCTCGTCTTGTCGGAGTGAAAAGATATCACTAAACGGGTGATCGATTGTATGATTGAGTTCAACAACACAAATAGGAGAATTTATAGAAAATAAAACTGATTTTAAATTTATTTTTTTTCACATCGAATAATCTGATGATTGTTAAATTTTCGCTGTCAAAAAGAAAAGAAAAGAAACAGAGGAGGAGAAAAATGAGAGTGAGAATGAGAAGGGATTGTTATACATTTCGAAAAACCAATAGGGATGATAATAACACCAATAATTCTATCGATGGTAATTTCGCAGTTGTAAACGGGATGAGTGTATGTGACTGAAATGCTAAAGAAAGCTAATGCAAATGAGATACAGGAAGAAATAAAGATGACTGGTGTAAAATAACTCCTTGAATTCCCCCCCCTCCCTCCCCATATAGCTTAATAATACTGGTTAAAAGTTAGTAAAACAGTTAAGTGAACACATTCCTTCAGATAGCCGACTGGTCAAATTTATTCAATTAAATTTGAATTGATAAACAAATTTTTGCCTATTATTTTTTTATAAGTAAAAACTGGGAGATGTAGAACTAATTTTTACACCAGATTTATTCATCTGGAAAACTGTCATCTTCATGAGTAATTGTAAACTAATTTATATATATATATATATATATATATATATTAACGGGGAACTTGCTATGTTATTAGCAGAAGTGATTATAAATTGACTGACTGATTGATTGATTCGACTCATTTAACTGATTATACTCAGAATAAACAAACAAATAAATAATCTCAATACTCCATAGTCCATTGGCTTCACATTGGCTGAAAGGTCGACAAGCTCGCCTTGTAACCTGAAGACCTTCTATTCGATCCCTAGTGATGGAGTCATGGGTACATACTGATGAAAAGTCCCAAATTACGATGTAACAACTGTTTAGCACTCCCTGGTTTTCGAAATGAATTCAATTCATGATCATAATTGAAACAAGTAAAAATTGTGCAAACCAACACTTGTAAATAAATAAAGTTATCCATTATGGACTAAAATCTTTTGAGTTAGATTTCATCATGAACTAGTATTAGGTGGAGAATCTATGAGAAGCAGAGAGTATTAGATAACTGTTTCATCCTAGTTTGAGACTCTTTAGTAGTACGCACCCATAACCCAACTGGTTATCCAAACCAGGACTAAGTTAGAGTTCAAAGATGTGGAAATTCTAACTTACCTTAATTCACGACATGTGTCGCTATCGTCAGTCAATGACGTTGGAGAGTATGTGTCTGTACACTCGACTAGGTGAACTCAAGTGATCTCATTACAACTCTGGGTCCCCCATCCTGTAGTCAGTAACTGTTGGGACGTGAAAGTTTTGGTTCGGCTTCTGATGGAGTCATGTGTGCGTGCTGCTAAAGAGTCCCAAACTAAGATGAAACAGAGGCTTAGTACTTCTTGGTTTCCAATTCTTATCGAGAAGATATCGGTTTGTGATGAAATATAACTTAAAATTAGTAAAATTCCTAAAAACTAATTCTAGAAAAATGAAATTATTTAGTCCATACCGATGGTTTCTTCACCTGATTAGTTCTTTTTCCTTGGTTTTAAACACTATTGGACTTAAATGTGACCATGAATTCAGGTTAACTTCTCGTCAGTGGTTAAAACATGAAGACAATAAAATCAGTAGTTCAGAATTATAAAGAATAGGTAAATTAGTGAATAAATTTTACCTTAAGGATAAATAATCGTTCCATTCAGCAAGATTTGAACTCGTTCATTGTGTATTTAGAAACTTTAATGAAATGTCTTGAAATATGAAGGTTATTATTTTAACAATTTCACTGATTAAGAGGTTGTTTGCTTTACGAATTAGTCACCCAGTTTAGTGATCACATGACAATCCAGTGCATACTAGCAATAGGGTGATGCACATACAAGGTAGTCGAACTATTCTGATGTTATATATTGAAATTATTTCTTTTGAATTTCACTGAGACTATACAAATATAATTTTCACATATAGCTACTTCTCACTCGGTGCTCAGCTATTTTGGAACTATTCGGTGAGATCTCGATCACAGTTCATATGAAGAATACAGTAGGATTTTGTTAGCAGAGGTGTTTATTTCGCAAAATGATGTACAGTGATCGACAAGCACCCCTCATTTTACCTCTAGCGATATATATATATATATATATCACTTCACGTGTAACTATGGCAGCAGTTACATTAGAAGAATAGAAAGGTGGTCTAAGTTAGATTTTCTGAACACGTAACAAACAGACTTCGATTAAAGCGTCCGAATAGTTTAAAGTCGTCAATTGCAGAACACCTGATAGACACAGGAGACCGAGTGGACGCAATGGGAGCATTCACACTAATTAACAGACCAAACACTCCAAGTCTTCTTCTTCTTCTTTTGATCTCATCATGTGTTTCAGACCTCCCTCCCCCCCCCACCTCTCATCGTTCTCTTGACTTTCATATTCAACCTAATGCCTAATCCTTTGAATTCTACTCAATGTATTACGTCATCTTTTCATTCCAATTCATACACACCAAATTTTGGTTTTCCGATTTTATGAGTCTTAGTCGCAGTATTTTATTATCTCTGATTACGCGATTCCAACTAGCCACCTTAACGTTACTGGTTATACATTGTACTAACTGAGGCGCGACTCTCAGATTGTAATCACTCTGATCAGCAGATAAAGGGAGACTTATTCAAACTGAAATTTGTATAAAATAAATGATGTTAGACATATTTAAAGAATCTGAGATTCGTTTGAGATTTCTTGATTGTTGTCAGTCATCCTCAAGATAAATGTACAAATACTTCGAAGACACAATATCCCTCTCCCGGATTTAAATCTGCTTTTCAGAGCCAAAGTATATTATGCACACATACAAACTTATTTATTCTTTGTTTACTCTTCTAGAATCGTCATCATGTAGTGATCTGATCTGATCTATCCACCATATCAAGTAGATGTTAGGTAGTGGGAGGCAATCAGCAAGAAGCCATGGGTTTAGGCCTCTTGCTTATTGGCATTCGTCAGGAGCAAGATACTGATTCCAACCCAATTATTCATTGCTGCATTTATCGACATTACTGCTGAGCTGTTTGAATTTAGTAGTCCAGGGCCTCTTGTCAATTACTCCTATCCATCTAACATCCCTTCAAATGCACCACAGTGATAGGTTACCTAGCTTGATGATTACAGTTTAAATTTGACTGGTTGAATTCAGTCAGAACCAACAATAAGGTGTACACATGTGACCGTGGCTACATCACAGTAAATAACCAAGGCGTAGTGTCGATTATTTTGTCTAAATACCATAACGTCTGCATAAAAATACAAACTAATGATTGACTGAACTGAGTGGTTGCCTACCGCTCATATCTAGCAGTAGTACTTGCCAGCCAGATCGGGGTAATCTAAACACCAGGCGGCCATATCGTTCCTTCGGAACCGAGCTCATCTGTGGTGTACCTGTTGTGACTCAGCCCAGAGAGACGAATCAATTCAAACCACCTTATTTTTGGCTTACTACTTGGTCGAAATGGTGATATCACAAATCAAATTTACAATCTGGTAAGCGGTTTGCAATATACACAATCCCAGGAGTGAAATTTCCACCCAAGTTTCTTTTGAGAACGAAATTATTCAGATCACAGTGTGTGATCTGCTCTCTGAGTTGAGTCAGACCGGGTAAACCACTGATGACCTCAGTTCCAAAGGAACGATACTGCCTTCCGGTGTTTAGTTTGCTTCGATTTGGCTGGAGAGCATTACTGCTCTATAAGAGTGGTAAACAACTACTCATCTGAATTTATCAGTAGTACATAGTTTCGTGTGAATCTGCTTGCTTTTTAGATTACTATTTATGGTATCAAGCAGATCACAAACTTTGGTCCGAATAATTTGGTTCCCCAAAAAACTATGGTGAAAATTTTCCCCTGGGGACTGTGTTCATTGCAAATCGCTAACCAGTTTGCAAATTGTCAATCAGACTTACAATTCACTGTGTAGTTAACCACTGTCTTATGGAAAAGAACTAAGCAGTCTAAGAAGTCTTAATGATATCGCTTATTTCCTATCAGCATTTCCCTTTTGTAACTAAAGAACGACGAAGCTTGAGAAAGACATCCAGAGGGACGTACGTACTAGGAACGCTAAAAAATAGATTTGGATCCCTTACATGACATTAATCTTAAACTTTCGGCAAACTAGCCTTACACCAACCAGATATCTTCACACAATTTTTTAAAATGAATATAGTGCCATTTACCAGGTTTCACTACCTTTCTCAGAGTGAGTATTCCTAAGGTTATTACTGCATTCGTTTCTCACGTCATCTATTCTTAAACTCCTCCACAATATTGAAACCAAGCTGCAAATACTTTCTCTCATAAAACAATAGTAATTTCTTTTCCTTTTTTTATTTTAAAAGGGCACTCCAAATCGATCAATAACAAAGAATCAACACAAAAACAAAAATACACTGAACGCATTCACAGTTCAATAGAATTAAACACAGAATTGATAATAAATACTGAGAAACCTATAATTAAATCAAAAGAAATGGAAAATATTTCATATGAAGAGGAACCATCAAAATCATCAATCACATCAACAGGTTCATCGTTAGTTGTTAGTTCAACGAATAAACGATCAAGATCAGCATATACAAATTTACAGTTAGTTGAATTAGAGAAAGAATTTCATTATTCCAATTATCTTGCACAACCAAGGCGAATAGAATTAGCTGAACAACTTGGCTTAACTGAACGTCAAATTAAAATATGGTTTCAAAATAGGCGAATGAAACAGAAAAAGGAACATAAAGATAATGAGAAAATAAGATATGAGTAAGTTATTATTTGTTTGCTTTATTATTATTATTTATTTAATGGCTAGTGGTGCCTGAAGGTGAAGTGAAAATCTGGGTCGCCACATGATTGCAACCAGCGGCACCTTAGAACTACCTGTCTAGTGTTGTGTTAACTGAACTGTGGGACACAAATGGTTCAACCAGGTCATCATTTCACCACAGTCACCACAAGTAATATCTAGATGTCATGTGAATAAAGGTTATCTTACTCTCCAGTAATTATTACACTAGCTACTCAGCGAAGTTATCTTATATCAAGCCTAATCATATTGAATTAGAGGGTGAAGATTAGGTTATTAGTTGATAACGAGAATATATGAGATAGTCAAAGGCTAGAAAAGTGTTACTGATGTATTGGCAAATGACTGAAATTCTGGGTTGTGGCAGCAGTCTGGTAGTCTACCGGTCAAGGTACGATACCCAGCTGCTTATCACCAACGGAAGGGATTATATATTACTATTATTATTTCCTTGGGTTCCGAGTTGGACATAGGGTTTCAACAATACTTCTCCACTTTCTTCTATTTTCTACTGTCCTCTTTAACGGGGCCCACTATTGCCCATAATCTCTCATCTCCTCTTCGAACGATCCCCTCCATTTCACCCTCAATCGACTCACTCGTCGTCCCACTGGGACTCCACTTGAGCAATGGCCTGTATTGAGTACGATGTCATTCGACGATCTCCTCAAAGTATGTCCTATCCATCTCTATTTTCTCCTACACATTTGTTGAGCTATCGGCACTTGATTAGTTACTTGTTGTTGATTATTTCTGGCCAGCCATTTCATCTTCAGCATAGATCCAGTGAAGGTGGCAGCTGTTGATAAAAGTATGCAACCTGTTGGAAATCCTTTTCGTGACACGCCAACGGAAGGGGATAAAGAAGACCTATTACTACTATTTAGATTTTGTAAGGTTTTTGATTAGTTCCAGTGTAGACTTCGTCAGGGGATCATTGATAACTGACATATAGTGGACAGTTGTCTTGCGAGACTCTTCATCATGAATGGAACTAAGGAACTTAAGGTTATGAGGCCAGTTCGTCTACCATTCAGCCACTGAGTGGGAATCCAATAATTTGTGGATCCTAACTTATGTCGATTCATGATACAGCGCTACCATCAATAAATGGCATTGATGAGCATCCACTTCACTCTGATATGACTGAACCCACTTGTCACGACTTCGCTAATGCTGCTCGGTTTTCATCAGTTTTTTAACTGACATTCGTTTCGGTACAAAATCTACACTGGAACTACCATGGTGTCGTCTGAAATATTTGAGAAGCCTTTGATTATTGAACTGATCTTAATTTACAGGTAGAATGACTCAAAATGAATTAAAAGATGAAACACAGGAAGTATCTGAAAACAACTGTGTTTCATATTCTGTGGTGTTTTTTAATTGTTATTTTCGAGAGCTGAAATCTGTTTAAGTAACACCGACTGATTATTGGACATTAAGACAGCACCTCTTAAATTATTTTACTATATCCAGTAAGTGTAATGTGAATGAGTTCATGCTGCTGAATTATTACTGATAATAACGGAACATTTTTTTCGGTGTTCTTTGATTCTTGATATTTACTGGATACTTCCAATTAGCAGTCAGATTTATCTTAAAATCGATACAGTCCCAACAAATTTTACAAGTGAATTCCTACCTTTGGAAACATTGGAGAAAATCTATAACTCAGATGTATGCTTTTGGCTTGTGGTTGTGTTTTCAGCTGGGTAACTTAATTGCAAAGCTTTCATTATCTTTCCACACAATATCTTCACATTTGGGAATTTTCCATGAAGCTGACTGTCATTGGTTGCCTTCAGCAGTTCTCTTAGCCTTGTGTTCCTTTATGTTGGTATCGACCATTTTGTTGGCCTAAAGTTGGATTTTTATTCAAGTGACTTATTTTTCCTTGGTGATGGGTAGTCATAATCTGTGTAAAAATGTCTGTTGAGCACAGACTGATCAAAGTACCAAGTTTCAAGAAATTCACTGGCATCTTTTAGGATTACTGTCTAGTGCATATGAGTTAGTAATGTCAATATAAATTTCCTGGAGTTCTGTCGAAAAGTTGCAGTAACTGGACTTCGCAATATTGAGTTTGATAACACTTTTTCTCTAATAACACTACACAGTAACGGTACTATTTCACCAACAGTCAATATTTGAAAATCATAGGTCCGGAATAGAGGAAATTCGAAACAAAAACCTCAGTTAGATAAACATTCGTATTGGCATCTTCTAGGTTAGAATTCATTTACAGGTAAAGATTTTTTCCTTTTCATATCTCATTATCACTCTACTACAGTACTATTATTCAGAAAGACTGTGACACCCGCAGTCAGTATCATCATGTGGCCTAATTACTGAACTACAGATGCACTTATTTCTATGTGTAGGTGAATTTTAACTGATTTAGTGGAATACCAATCGTCTTTTTCGAGGTTACTAATCAGTCACAGTTTTAGCCGCATAACTACGCATTTACTAACATAAAAATGACAGTAATTCATTGATTTTGAATGGATAGATTGAAAAGTAGTTAACTAATCCTGAACAATGCTATAGAGTCTGAAGCTGGGACGAAGCAACTATACCATATTCCTTGGTTTTCAATAATTGTGATTAGTTTTAAGGACAGAATAGTGTGTTGTTGATTTGATTACCTGATCTAGCCTTAGGTAGGCAGTCTGATATTAATGCAGTGATCTGAGGTGAAACTAAAAATTTTAATCGGTTTGAGAAGACTCTCTTTGACAGCCACTCACTAACAGTCAACAGATAGTTATCCCTTTTCTAATTTATCACGACTAGGATTGAACTATGAAGATATGATTTGATTTCTAGTGCAGTGGTATGACAGTTACACTGCATTTGTTTACGTAACAGCTCGGTGAATGAAGACCTGGCCAGTAGTTTGATCTTTTCGCTTAGATGGTGGAAGGCTAAGTTAATTTTTAAAATGATGCATATTACATATAGGGTTGAATAAAGTTAAACGTACAACTGATGAAAATTGAACGCTAATTTTGTTAACAGTTATTTTCGTTGATTATATTTAGTGAACGGACACAGTTAGATTCGACGTTTTGTTCAGCCCGAACTCAGTCAGCCTGAACAGATCATTTGTGAACCAGGACTCAATGGTCGTAATGCATGACTACCAGTCACTTGGTTACCAGTTTGGAATCCACTGCACATATGGAGTTCTAAGCAGCCTTAGCACACTAGATGTGGCTGATTGCCACCTGCATAAAAATACAAGCAGCTGTCGAGTGGCACTTATGGTATCAGGGTTTAAGTAGACAAATAGACGTTCGGACCCTGTGGCTCTAACTTAAGTGTCCAAGCTAATAAGCTACACTGTCATTTATATTTATTGAATCCAAAGTTCAAACTTCACTATTTGCAGCTCAAGTAATCATTAACTATTGTGCATTGAGAAACAGAAAGGGGAGAGCTGAAGACCAGGGAAAAATAAACATTACTAGTTTGTAGGGTTACGCAAGAAATTACAGTTCATAGGACTAAAATTAGCTTAGTGAGCTGAAACCACTCATATGGATGGTAATGTAATTAATGTGACCTGTTTGCACCAGCCTGAGATGAACTTATTGTAGCCATAATTTTGAGTAACATTTCACTTATTTCATCACGTTCCGATGAAACTTTTAGTTGCAGCAAGGGTGTGACTGCTGCTGGTAATGTCTGCTGGAATTTCTAAAACAGTGGCGGTAACCGTTTCTGAAGTTTGTCCAGTGAGGTCCAATCAGGTGTCACGTGTGTGGATGGATGTCCCACCAACGACAATGGTTGGGGTCGCGCTAAAATCACGAATTGGTAGAAGTTAGAATTCCTGAGCCATTGAAAGGGTCCCAGTGGCTGAATGGTATACGAGCTTGCCTTGTAACCGGAAGGTCCTGGGTTCGAATCCCAGTTGGGTGCGTACTGCTGATGATTCCCAAAAACTAGGATGAAACAGCAGCTGTCCAGTACTCCCTGGTTTTCAATGGTTCTCTAACTGATATCAGTCCGTGATCAACTCGTAAAACAATTCTATTCATTGGTTACGTTTATATGTCTGACAGTAGGTTGTACGACTACAATTTAGGCATACATTAACAATCCGCAGTCTTTTCATACCAGGTAAGGGATTTCTAGTGTTAGATTAATAAATAAAGTAGACGAAGGTTCAAGAGAAACTAACGTGCATGGTGAGGTGTTTTGAATAATATACGCATAAGACGGGAGTTGGAAGTGACAAGTATAAGTGTGATACGTACTTATTTAATTGAATTTTAGATTTTCCCGTAGATTAATTGGACCGAAGTGGACCAAATTAAATAATTAATATGACCCGTTGCACAGGAGGTGGCTCTCGTGGCCCAAGTAGTCTAGTGGATAACGTTTTGGCGTTTGCAAATAAGGGCGCTGGGTTCGATCTTGGGTGGGAACGTCATCACTCACTGCGGAATGCAGGTGCATCCAGTGAAGAGTCCCAAATAGGACGAAATGCGCATCCTGGATCCGACTGCTAGTCACCACCCACCAATTAACCTCTAGTGACACATACTTGTTGTTAGGATACCTTTGATTACTTTCAAATGATTCCGGAATGCAATGGATACATAAATTGTTGTCCTTGCAATAATATGCAGCAGTCACTGTTGTAGTATGTGCGACCTATTCAGTAATGAAGTAGTTTCTGACGCACTTTTGACTATTCATGTGTTGAATCAGTGAAAAATTACCCATCTTAACTCCTTTTTAACACGTTTTGTAATCCCGCCCATTTACAGTCATTCGAAACATTTTTCACCATTCTTAACAAATTTTATTACCAGTCATACCGACTATCCCAAATTCTACCCATTATTTTACCATCTGTCCTTCATTAATGTTGATTTGATCTTATTGTTAATCTAAACGATGACTTTCGAGACAGATAAAACTAACTGAAGTCCAAGTGGTAACAAGTTTTTGTTTTATGTCAAACTGTAATCCAATTTGTTGTTAACTTTATATAAAAATCATTGCATTTTCCCTCATTTATTGTTACTTCTCATTTAGGTATTGTCCTCCTCTCTATGAAAATTATAATCCATGGAATCCAAATTACCTAGTAAATACCAATTCTCAACAGTCAGTAAACTTCTTCCCCACTCTATCATCATCAACAACAACAACAGTAATACCACAACAAGCATTCACTTCTAGTTCACACCCATTAACATTCTCCAATCAGTCAACACCAACTTCACATTCATTGACATCAACATACATCTCTTCTACTAATTCTCATCACTTAAACAACGGCACCAATTCAAATGATGCAAATATAAAACTGTATAATCCATTAAAACAAGAAATAATCAATAATTCTTTCAAAGACTGGTCATCTGCATTAAATAAAAATAATTATTCAATATCATCATCCTATTCACCTTCGTCTCTGTCTTCTAATCATCAGTTATCTCAAGACAGAATGGATTTCAGTGTTAATTCAAGTGTAATTAAGTTTAATTATGCCAAGAAATTAACACGTAATTATACTACAGATGAAAGTGAATGCAAACAATCATCTTATTTCAACAGCAAATTACAAAATCAATCATATAATTCATTAGAATCCTACAATTTTCCAACATCAACACACTGTCAGCATTTCAGTTCAAATGAGTCATCTGTACATCCTGTTTATAGCTATGATTTTAGTCAATGTTAGGCAGAAAACAGTGATGCAAATCTAACTAACCAGTTTTTATTGCACTCAAGCAATTATGTAAGACTTTACTTTCACTACATAGGCATTTCTAGTCAGCTTATGAGTGATTTGTCGGATATATTGTTTGTTTTAATAAAAAACTATTAGACAGTTGTTCACTTATGTATGTCCAAACCAAGTTCACTTTTAACAGTTTGAAAAAATTTGCTCATTGGGTATACGATATTCATTATAATAAAGGTTTTTGTATTTCCCAATGAATGAAAAACATTACGATATTGTTTTTACTGGCGTTTTGCTATTTAATGCTAATAGCTTTATCAAAGTATTATTAAACCAGAATTTACAAAATTTCAGCTTATATATAACAACTTAATCATCGTTCCTCAGCATAGAGGAACTTTTGCGTTGTCAAATTGGCCTATTGGTAAAGATAACAAAAGCAGGTGTAGATTGTTGGATTTGATAAGTGTGTAAAATTATAAAAGCAGCAAGTGTTTACATAGCGGTTAGGACTCTCGCCGACCATGCACATGGGCCGGGGTTCGATCCCCTGCCGACGCACACCCGATATCCATGCTGAAAATTCCATACTTGTACTGCAAATACGGTGTGGTATCAAGCTGTAATCAAAATAAGATAAAATAAAAAATAAAACACCATTTGTCTGTTTTTATTAATTCCCTTTAAATGTAAAATAATTGCTTTCTAGACAGAATTTCAAGCTCTTAATTATTTCACGGGTGTCCAGTGGACATCTTTGTGATAGCTTTGTATCTGATTCTAGTAGACTGGAAATGATATCGACTTTCGGTAATAGGGATACTAGTATATAATGAGTTAATATCATAGCTTACCATAATGTCTTCCCTGTCAATTTCTCGGTGCTGTATTTGGGATTTGAAATCATATGAATCTTTTACAATATTTTGAGTGTCCTTTTGTAGTGGTTGTAGTGTCAAAAATTAGTATATATATATATATATATATATATATATATACAACTACTATTGCAACTTTTTCAGTTTTCGAGTTGTGGCTGTTTCTGAGAAACTTTTCAATGACAAAACATATAGCCATTTTCAAAATGCATCAATCATTAACAGAAATCAGCTTCTTAGAAAGAGCCAGTGAAAGCAATATGAACAGTCAATTACTTGGGTTCTCAAACAGACCATGACTGTAATTTCTGTCCATGAGGTTAGCAACCCCATCCTGTAAAATAAAATCATAGTACAGGTGTATAAATGCAGTATACAGAAGGTGATTCTCTGTATAAAGTTGGATTTCATTTTTAGAACCCTAGAGTGAAAAAGAAAGCTTGTGATTGATAGTCAGGGAAGACTGAGACCATAAAGCATTTTATGAAATTTTTTGGCTGTAAATGCAAATGTGACTCTGTCTTACATTATTTGGATATAATTCCGCTAAGTTGAAGCATGTTAGAATGGTTTTTCACCAGCACTGGGAAACACATGAGAGACAGTAGTACCTATACCACAATTAAATGCATCACGTGCAACAACAGTTTCTAACGCTGGGTTATAATGTACAAGCAGTGGATCATAAGAAATTTCGGTAAAGTTCAACAACAGCTTACCAAGGGATGCGGACGCACAAGTGACCTTCAGCCCACCAATCATAAAAATAAGTGACTTTTGCACAAAATATGACTTGTATTTACAAGAAAATGCAAGAGAACACATTAAACAGGGTATCTTTCTCTGACGTGACTTAAAAAAATGTCCCAGTTATAATGAGGAGTATCAGTTTCTAAATTATACTAGTTTCTCTACATGTATTACCGAGGTGACTAAAGATGAGCTGTTTTTGTGAATCGTTTATCTCTCTTATCCTGTTGCGTAGTCTTCCTCTATGGTTTCCAGTAAGAGGATGGACGACTACTTATCGTAAACCTAACCCTGATGCTTATTATTATTAATAATTTAGAGATTCCTTAGGTACTTTTCATAAAAAGAAAATATAATCGAGGGAGATTGGGTGTGAATCAGCAATAAGTTTGGGGATATATGAGACCAACCTCCAGAAAGGATATATTGAGGCGATCCTTAATCGCACTGCAGGTGTATTATTGCCTATTATCCAGCGCTTAGTGCAGCCCGGGACGACTATTCATACAGATGAATGGAGTAATTACAGTCACTTATCGAATGTGGGCTATATTTTTTATCAAGTGGTCAACCAAAACAAATGGTTTTCTCAATCCTTTCGATGAAACTCACACTAATTCCATCGAAAATTACTGGAAACACCTAAACAACGTATCAGATCTGTGAATGGATCAAGAAATGCAACGATATAGAGTTATCTCAGATTCAGATGATAAGGATAGAAGGCTCTTGTGGCCTGTGTTAATCCTTGCGAAATATATCTCTGTAGAGATCTAACTTCTCTTTCAAAGCGTTCACCGATGGAGCTGATACTGCTGAATCAGGTAAGGAGTTTCAGTCATTGACCACTCTGTGAGAGAATCTAAATTCTGCACGTATTTTAGTCGTCCTCGGTTTGAGCACCTTTTTGCGGTGACCCCGTAAATGTATCCTAGAAGGGGAGAAAAGTTTAGAAAGGTCAGTTCCCAAATCACCCTTAAGTATACGGTATGCTAAAATTAAGTCACCTCTTCTTTCAGAATGATAACGGGAAGAGATTTAAATGCTCCATCCTCTTATCATAAGGAAGGTGTGAGATACCACTAACTAATTTTGTTCCTACTCTCTGTACTCTTTCCAGGATATGTGCCTCCTTTTTAAAGCATGGACTCGCCGCTTGTATGCAGTACTCTAGATGAGGTCTGACATATGTTGCAAAGAGTACTTGGAACATACCCTCATCTAGTCGTTTGAAAGCCCTTCGAAGTGATCTTAGCATTCGAAAAGCCTTAGCTGCTGCTCGATTACAGTTTGCCGTTGTTTTTAATTCATGGCTAACAATAATTCCTAAGTCCTTTCCTAAATAAATGTGCTCATTTATCTACATTTGCGAAGATGGAAGAAAAGATGTCAGTTGCTAAACTTTCGCGATAGCGGCAACCTATATTTTGATTGGTTTTCTAGCTTTCTCATGTACACAAAAGTTTCATATATTGTTCTTCATGCTCATCATATCCCTTAAGTTGAGTGACTGAAAAATGATTCCAACATACGTGAGTGAATTAAACGTATGATGTCCATTGAAGTTGACGCAACTGATCATTGTTCCCCTGGTTTCCGAGTGCAACATCGGAATTCCACTGTACATCGCCATTTCACTCTGCTTTGTGAATTCTTTTTTGGCTGACCATGTGATTGCCCATAAGCTTCCATTTCCACCTCACACGATCTCCCTCTCACCGTCGAACCCATGCATAACTTGTCGTTCACAATTCGGGTCCCACTAAAGGTTATGTCTGGTGCACTATGTCAGTCAATGGTCTCCTCAAATTATATTTAATCCATTGCAATTCATCTATGCTTATTTTGCAGAGCGATAGGTGCTCAGTTGGTTTGTTACCTGGGTTCCTTGTTGTTAATTCTTTCTCGCGGTATTGGATTGTAAACAAATGGATAGTAGAAGAAGATTCCTGTAGATGCGAGTGACTAATTAAAGCAGGGTTATGAGCTAGACTATGAAATGAACATATCGTGTCAATACAATGCTATCCGGTAATAGAAACCTGCACGTAAGAAGTCGAATTTAAACTGAACCGAACACAGAACAAACCACGGAAGTCCTTCAAATACCCATAGTGGAAAGCTTACAGAACCTATACAGTGATCAGTTCCTACACCTCATTTACAGCTATTAACACCAAGAATGATTAGTAACTATGTCACATAAGTCAAGAGATATAGGTCAGTAAGGTATTCACCTTCGGTAAGTTTTATTCAAAGCTACACAGCTAGTCAGTATTCCTTAAAGGTTACGCAAAATACTAATAGTGGCTAATGATTATTATTAGTCACACAACACATACAAAACATCAAGAATTCTCGAAATTGGATTAGGCAGTGTTGTCTGAACGAAATACGTCAAGTGGTGATTAACGTCCACAAATGTTTATCATCAAAACTATAAGCATTAAGAAACAGGATTATGGTGGAACACAGCTAGCATAATTTTTATATTCAAAAATATGTTGCAAATCTGCAGTGAACTAAAGTAGTTACTCTAAGAAATTTCACGAAGGTCGACTGTAGGTAAGTTATTAAAATATACATCAAAATAGTAAAATAACGAAATAATTCACTAGCTTGTAGAAATACTCAAGGAATAATAATGGTGGGGATGCTTTCAGTTCCATGAGTGACACTGAAATTGCCTGAATTATGAGACTCCTCAACGAAGTGATATTAAGCTTAAAAGTTCCTTAAGTTAATTACGGTAGTCGGGACTAAGGTTGAACTTAATGGGACCGAGAAGATATCTGAGTCTCATGAACCGTCACTTTCTATCCAGTATAACCTCTTTCCATTCCTGTCGCCTCAGATGTCTCATCTTTAGAACGTCGGACTCGGTCGACAAACCTACGATCTGCGAAGTATCGCCCCGGAGGGTTCGAATTAATACCTGACTGTATGTTTGAGTTGCATGAATGGCATAGTCTACCTCACAAATCAACAGAAACTGTCGGCGACAAGGCTCAAAATCATTCTCACTCCATCATCTCCGAAATACCCCATTCCTCTCTGTATTGCGTGAAAAATATCTGCAAATCTACTGACAAGTATCGCCTCTCCACACCTACGAGTCACCAGACTGACTGGACATAATGCTGATTTATCTAGTCTACCTCATCTCCTCGGCTATTACAATTCACATTTCCTCACTAGTGAGCAAAAACAAAGGAATACTCCACGAAATTACTGTCTAGCGATTGAGTAACATACTTCTAGGGTCAACGACCATTACTCCTAAATGGTTAGACACTAGGAAGAGACTGCTTGGGGCGATCGCATGATTGAACACAAAAGTGACCTCTCTCAGCCCATTCTCGACGATCA